GGATATCAGAAGGGCTGCCTAAGACTAGACTCAAACCCAGGCCTTGCCCCGCCAGTCCCAGTGTCCTCTCTACAGACCGGGACTTTAGCTCACCTAACCCACGCCTGGCTTCTGGGCGTGCCACACATGTTCTCAATTCTGGAGAATGAGACTGTCTATTTTGGGCAGAGTAAGAAGAAATGGGGTCAAGACAACATATAATAGATTTAAAGAAAATGAAGAAATGCTTAATTCTGGGATTTCAAAATAATAAATGGGTCTGTCAAAATGAGTATGTGTATGTGTGTGTGTGTATCTGTGTATGTGTGCATGTGTAGGTATGCAGGTGTGTATGTGTATGTATGTGTATGTGTGTGTAGGTTTTTGTGTATTTGTGTATGTGTGTGTATGCGTGTGTGTGTACGTGTGTCTGTCCCATAAATCTTTGTGAAGCTTTTCTAACTTTATAAGTATAAATGTTACTAACATAAAACATATTATTTGGAGGTTAATTATTTATATTCTTATTATACTTAGTTATTTTTGTGCATTTTCAATAGTAAATCATTAGTTTGAATTTTTGCATCAGTCCTTCTGAATGAAGATGGCAAAAGTTGATGGAAACAATAACAACTTAAATATTCAAAATTAAATAAGTATAGAATAAAGTTCTACTTCTGCGATAAAAGTGAAAATCATATGTGGGAAAAATGGAGTTGAGATTTGCGACAACATGGATGAACCTGGAGGGCGTTACGCTAAGTGAAATAAGCCACACAGGGAAAGACAAACACTGCCTAGTATCACTTATGTGTGGAATCTAAAAAAAAAAAAAAAGATGAACTCATAGAAACAGAGTAGAAAAGTGATTGCCAGAGGCTGGGGGTGGGGGAAATAGGGAGAGGCTAGTAAGAGGGTACAAACTTCCAGCTGTAAGATGAAGAAGGTCTGAGGATCTAATGTATAACACGGTGACTATAGTTGATAACACTGCATCGTACAACTGAAATGTGCTAAAAAATGGAATTGAGGACAGAGGAGATTCTGAGAGGATAAATCCCCATGAAATACCCAAAATTCTTGGGAGAACTTCAGACTTTCAAAGAATATGAAATTGGTGGGTTCAAGCCAAGCTCTCCAAGAGATACAAGGAACCAAGTATTATCTGAGTTCCGGGCAGAATGAATAGAAAATTGACTAAAGTTTGTCTCTAACAGGGTGAGAGGTGCTATTGGATGGCTCAGAGAAGGGTGGAGGGATCTGCGGGGCTGAATGGTTGGGGAGGGGCTGTGGTCCAGCCCCCTCCTCTTATGGCCCCCTCCCCGTCCTCAGGACCCTTTGTGACCAGACCTCAGCCCTGTGATGTGGGCCTGGGGCTGTAGTCCCCAAGTACACTCCCAGTGCTCAGTTGCCTGGGGGCAGCAGTGCGATTCAGATGATGGAGAATCCTCTCTTTAATCTGAAAAGCGTAACTGATACATGGCTGAGCTCCAGTTCCACTTGCTGGGCGACTGATACCATCCTCGCTGTCCTGTGTGCACTGGGATTCTTCCTCGTGCTACGTCCCTACCTCCAGAGTAATCCATCCTTACCACCACCTAGGAAACATGGAAGCATCAGGAAGGTAAGGAACCCTTGGCGCAGACTCAACAGAATATGATTCTCTCTTCCTTTCTATTGTTATTTCCACTTTCATGAATCAACTAGAGAGACTCCTGGGATGGGAAAGAAGAGAACACCTATTCTCAGGAAAGAAGAGAACACCATCCTTCTAGGGACAAGCCAGGCTGGGCGGGGGTTAGAGTGGGCACTAGGATTTCCATCTGAAGATCTCAGACCAGGAGTCCAGGTGTGCTCCAGGGCTCCAGGACAAAGTCCCAAACTCAGTGACCAGTGGCCGAGGACTGCATTACTAAGAGCCCGATCTCTGCGGGAGGACAGACCCCTGAGCACTGGGTCACCAGCCGCCTTCCCGGGACAGGTGTCTCGGGCTGGTCTGAGGGCAGTGCTGAGCCCCTGAGAGACTCTGGGCAGGGGCTGGAGTGGGGCTCTGGCCTCCGGCAGCAGAGTCCTCTCTGATGAGGCTCAGATACGCACCTGTAGGTCTGAGAGTGTGTGTTTCTGGAGCAGAGGAACAGTGAGGGAAGAGATCCATGGTGGGTCTCACACAGAAACACCTTCTTTGCGTTCTTCAAAGAAGGAAAACAGAATATTTCTATTCACTTTAAAAATGAGTAAAAGGAAAGAAACCTCACAGCGCTCCAGCAGTTACGTGTAGAAAGTCACATGGTTCATGGACACTGAGCGTCCCCAGCTTGTCCAGAGAGAGGACGGTGAGAATTGGCTCCCAGCCCCTCGTTTTGTCTCGTCTTGTCTCAGCGTCACGGGGAGCCGCGGGGGAGGAGCAGCAGAACGAGGAAGAGGAAGAAAAGTGGAGCTGTGAGAGGTAAGTGGCTGCCATTCAGCCCTGCCCCGGAGCTAGCCTCCATCTCACCCGTCCCTGAGGGCTCCACGGTCTCCAGGACGACAGTGGTAGAAAGAGATTCCCGTTTCCCTCAGGAAACAGAGCCCTTGAGGAGGCTCCTGGCAAGGAGATCAGAACCCAGATACTTCCCAGATTCTGTGCCCAGAACGAAGCCATGAGGGGCCTGGAGTGGGCGTTGCCCAGCAGGAGCCAGTGGGCTGTAGTGGATCAATAGTGTCTGGATTGGGAGGTGGAACCTCCAGGTCCGACTGTGGACAAGTTGTTTAACTTGGCTCAGATTCCTCTGTGAGGTGACCCCTGCCCTTTCTTCCCCACAGGGAGGTGGCGAGGGCTGTAGGGGGTAATGGATGTGGAAGTACTTTGTAAACGACAAAGTGCTCCCCAGTATGAGCCTTGCCATCCCTGTCAGGGGTCACGTGGCCTTGGACGCTATCTTGGGCTCCAGAGTTTCATCTCCCCACGGTCTCCCCTAGAGGGACTTTGCCCTCAGCCTCCTGTAACACCCCTAGGCCCCTGCCTTCACCATCATGACCAACTCCTGATTTCTAGCTTGCAGAGATTGCCTGAAGGAACTAGAGGAGGCTCGGGGCCTGGTTTTACTTATGCAGAGGTAAAGAATCTTCCCCTTCTCTCTCGGGTCCTTCCTCCTCCCAGAGCCTATGACGTGATGACGTGACCCCTGCAGCCTGGGGCTGATCTGGGAGGGGGAGCCACGGGGACAGGGTGTGGCTAAAGCCCTGGGGAGACGGACAGCAGGAGCACTGTGAAGTCGATGTGGGGGCTGTGGGGGGTCGCGGGTGCCCACCCCTGCCCGACCTGCCTGGCCCTCCTGGCCCATCTGCTCCTGGCCCATCTGCTCCTGGCCCATCTGCTCCTGGCAGCAGCCTGTGCCTCCTGTCTCCTGCAGCCACCTGGGGAGGCTCCCTGACAAGGGCAGTTTCCATCAGCTCTCACGTCAGGACCCCCCCGGTGAGGTGTGCGAGGCAGCGCCTGCTGGGGCCCAGCAGCCACACGGGGAGTGGATGGAGGATGCTGCTCCCACCGCGTACCTGTCGGCTTCTTCGGCTCTGCTGACCAAGCGCCCTCCACCTCTGGCCTGCACCCTGTCAGCAGACCCTCAAGAAGACCGACCTGACTTGCAGAGAATCCCTCTGGGCACGGTTGCTGGGAGCTTACCTCTAGGTAACTCCGGTTTGGCATCCCCCATCTCAGGCCTTGTCCGCACAAGTTGTCCCATTTCGTTCCTCTGCCAGTGGTGGAAGATTACCAAGGCCTTGTTCTTCACCTCATCACAGCACGAGTCCCACCACGAGCACCTGTCCCACCACCCACCGGAGGCCTCCTTCTCGGGAGCCCCCCCAGACAGGGAGGTAGAGGCTGGTAGCCCCTCATTTGTCAACGCTGAGGTCCAGAAGATGCTGAACATACAGTTCACCCAAAGAGTAGAACTGATGATTGGGAAGAAGAAAGAAAAGGATGTGTCATTTTTGAAACAGCTGAGCTCAGACTACCACCTGAACTCTTCAGGGAATATGTGGAAATCACTGGGTGCTGAGCGGGACACCACAACCTCCCAATCCCTCTGGACCCTGAAAGACAAACCAGAGCAGCTGCCCGGTTCTCAGCAGCTCTCCTATCCCAAGGCCTTGGGGGACCATTTACAGCAGAAATGCAGCCAGCTCTACTGGGGTCTCCCCTCTCTGCACAGCGAGTCCCTAGTGGCTACTGCCTTGGTCTCTAGGAGCTCTTCTCAACTACAGGCTCTCTCCGTTTTATTCAATGGCATCTCTAATCGCTTTCCGGTTCCCACCTGGCCTGAAATACCTTCACAGCTTTCCCAGGCCCCACCCTTGCCCTATCCTGGGGCCCAACCTCAACCTTTGACTCCAAACTTGCCCCAGTTCCAGCCCCCACCTCCGCCCCAGACCCAGACCCAGACCCAGGCCCATCTGGCATCCTCTCCCCCAACCCGAACACCTTCTTCTCCACTTCTGATGAGGACCTGTGGGGTATCTTGCCTGACACACCAGAATAAGACACAATCTTTCATCCCAACTAAAATACACCTGGAATTGTTCTCGCTGCAGAAGCAACTGAAAAGGGAGAGGGCTTTACCCTCTGTGGTAAAAAGATCTGAAGAAGTCTTTAGCCAGCTGATTCCCAATCTTCCCCAAGACAGTGGGGCCTCCCATGCCCACAAGTCAGTTTCCACCCTTCATGGGGACTTGATCAGCCCTAATCTCCAAAAGCAACATCTTCAAAAGAGGCTCATCAAAGATGAACACCAGGATGTCCTGCCCCACAGGATCCAAGTGTCTCTGGAACTGATGCAGCCTCAGGATGAATTCCCAGAGGCTTATCAGGCACAGGGCAAGCAGGAGCCCTCACAGCCCTCTGCATCTGTAGACGAAAGCAGCCAGGACACACAGAAAATGGGGTCCAGGTGCCCTAGAAAGTCCCCTGGGAGGGATGAAGTAAAGTTCCAGCTAGGGAAGGCCATTAGCAGGGGTCTGGGGCAATGTCTGAAGGGGATCCCAGATCTCTCCAGGGGCTCAGCCAGCTTCCCAGTGAAGCTTCCAGGAATGAACTCTGAGGAGTCTGAAAGACACTTGGTGAGGCCCTTAAAGACAGACTCAGGAAATTGCTTACCCAGGGGCCCAGATAAGAAACATCTAGAAAAAATCTTGAAAGTCCATTTGGGCATGAAGTCAGTGCAGATCAAGGAGGGTTTGATCCCTGTGAGAGTGCGTCAGTCCTGGCTTGCTGCCAATTATGTTGGTCCCAAGTCCCACACTCACATGGAAACAGGAAATCTGGCATCCTCGAAGGGTCCGGAACCCCGTGTGAACACCTCCTGTGAGCATTCCATCCTCAGTCCACGCACCCGACAGGTGCTGGTAGCACATATTATAAAGCTTCAAGTGAAACATCGGTGGGGCCTACCCCTCAAGGTCCTCAAGTCCATCAAAGTCTTTAAGTTGAAAAAGATTCAACCCTCACCCCTTCTACGGTCCGCCTTTTCCCCCTCAGCCACTTGTGTATCTGGGGCCCACTCAAAATCCAACTTCACCAAGGTCTTAGGAAAACCTCTTCAGCCCCGCCCAACAGAGAAACTTATAACAAAAGAGTCCATTCCCACCCTGGCGAGTCCCCTCCCTGCCCCCTCACCTGTGTGTGAAGAAATCCAGAAGGCCCTAGGAGGGACACCACCTGGTGATGGGCCCTCAGAGGCCCCTCTTACTGGACAACAGGACAGGCCACCTTCTCAGTCCCTCACATGCAGCCTTGTGGGCAGAAACTGGCACAGTGAGATTGTCATGGGGGCCGAGAAAGGTAGCCTGGAGCCACGTCCAAGTTCAGCAACGGCCGGGAATGAGCCAAGGTTGGAAAGTGGGGATCAGGACTCACGAGACCCCTGCCGTAGTTCCAGTCCCCAGAAGGAATGCACCAGTGGGGACACCCCAGCTTCCCAGGTGCCATATGACTTCACATCGAGTGCACAGACAAGCCAGGGGCAGCAGGAGCTCAGGACACCAAAAGTTAAGGACTCATGTGAGAGCCAGAGCAAGATATTTGCCCAAACTGACGAGAGGGATGACTGTAGGAGGCCCAAACCAGGAGAGTATGAAGACATGTTTGCAGGACCGAGGGCTTCCCAAGCCAGTGAGATGAGCCACCCTCCTCAAGTCAGGGGAATAGGAGACACTGTTGGGAGCAAATGCCTCCAGCTCCTGCTAGAGAAGGCACACTCTAGCCACTTCAGAAAACAGATGAAGCACTCTCTGCAGCATCTTGACCCCAGTCAAAAAGATGAAGGACTAGAAGATCTCCCTCAAAAAGGCAAGCCTGCATCAGCCACTGCCCAGAGCCCTGGACCAGTCAAAAGCAGATCTCTTACGGACGGCAGGGCTGTTGAAGCTCAGATGATTGTGACGTCTGTTGGACAGATCCTGGCAGAGAAATTGGGGCTTCACCAAGGACTCTGTGCCTCGAGAAAAGTCAGCACAAAGCAATTCCAGGCCCCAGGAGGTGGGCATTCCTGCTACCAGGAGGTTCTCTCCTCCCCAGAGCCGAGAAGACTGATAACAGATACGGTCTATAGTCACCAAGCCACCCCCAGGAGCCCCAGCTGTCCAAACAAGAGCAGGTGGGCCAGAGAAGGGGATGGGAAGTGGGCCTTCCCACCCAGGGAGCCAGGGTCCCCAGGCAGACCCTGCCAGCAGGGGCCGAGGGTGGCAGGTGCCTCAGCCCACCATCACCCAACACGCTGTCTTTGAGAGTGCGTCTCCCGTCGTCAGCTAGAGTGTGCTTCTCACACCTTTCCTGGAAGGGAAACTTTCCACCAATAAAAAATATAGTTTATGTGGAGAAAACCTGGTTTTTCTCATGTTAGCACATCTTCTATATGCTAATGGCTTCTTCCTACCACAATTTTTATTGTTTCACAAAATATGTCTTTTCTAAAAAGAGGTAGTGGCCTCTGTTGCTGGCTGGGGGGAGGGGAAGGACTCAGGGTCCGTGCTTCCCGAGTGCCTGCTTTGGCTTCCAGAAGGGATGGGGCCATGGAGGAAGGGTAACCACAGCGTGGTATACCCACCCTCACCGCCATTCCCTCACTGCACCTTAAGTTTCCATAATTCCATCACTAAAAATACAAACAAAAGCATTCAGGACTTGCCAAGATGAGCAAAACCTATAAGACCCCACCCCAGGATCGGGCTCAGCCTGTCCTCCCCTGCTTTCTCTCTACCTTGAACTTGTGCAGCTGTAGGGAGGAGGCTGCAGAGGCTGAAATTCCCCTCAGGCTCCAGGAAGTACTGGAGACAAGTTCTCGTGTCACAGAGTGGGGAGGGGAGTTTGGGGGCAGTGCTGGCCCGGAGTCCAGAGGTGGGAAAATCTTGCCTCCCAGACCTCTTGGTGGGAACAGATGGTGCCTGTCCCGGGAGCCCTTCCCTCCCTGATGAAGCCGGGATGGAGATGGGCCGGCGAACCCCCTTAGCTCAGCATCACCCTCCCTCTGCCCTTCTCACACTCTGGAGCAGCAGCAAGGATGAGGACGGGGCGCCCAGCTCCCAGGATGTGCAGTGCGGGGCATGGAGGCTGCCGAGGGCCAATCCACCCCTGCCCGAGAGGAGAGAATGGCCCTGCTCATGGGTGTCCGCCTTCCCTTTCTGCAGGACCGAGGAGAGCTATGACTGTGCGGTGCTCACCATCTGACAGTGAGACACTGTGCACCTAGAGCAGGATGTGGGGGAAGGAGGCACACTGGCAGGGGTGCCCATGAATGGTGCGGTGACCGAGGAGCCCCTGGCGTCCCACCGCCACCTGCAGGCCCAGCAGGGAGGAGAAGTTAGGGGCCCGGGGGCTCCACCCAGCGTCTCCGCCCCACGTCAGCTCCCAGAGCCCAGACCCAGAGCAGCAGCCAGTAGCTCCTCCACAGAGGGCCAGGCTCACAGAGGTGGCACGGCCTTCAAGCAGAGGGTTAACTTCTTCACAGTACATTTAATAAGCTCGCACAGGACTGGGGACCTCAGGACTCACGGTCTGTGACCTTTACTTACACATGTGGTCCTAGGATGGCTCCCCAGGACAAGTGGTACTTCAAGGGCTGAGGGACTGGCCTGGGGTCACGTAGCAAGTCTCGCCTGGCTGCCAGTCTCGCCTGGCTGCCAGTCTCGCTTACCCCAGAGCCCGGAGCGAGGAGAGGCCATCAGACAGGATCTGTCACACAACGGGCCGGGAGTGACCTGCTCAGAATGAGGGTGTGGTCCAGGAGGTCCCGCTGAGTGCTCTGCTCTGAGCCCAGCTTTCCTCCTCCCCAGGCCCCCGTCCACACAGGAAAGCTGGGAGACGGGAGCAATTTCTCTAAAATGATTCCGAGCTCTGTGCCACACGCAGGGCACACACTGGGCCCAGCTCCAGGGGGTGTCACTCCTGTGGTGGAGAGTCCTGCTCTAGGAGGTGCCCCTGATGCAGGTGACAGCAGGAATGGGCCCTGCCCCCTTGCCTGTCAGATGCCACCATGTGGGACCGGGACCCGGGGTGGAGGGGTGGAGTGGGCACAGGCCTGCTCGTGCTGTGGTTTCTCCCTGGAGCAAGGTCCTGCCTCTGGGCCCTCCCCATCAGCACAGCAGGGAACATCCTGCTGAAAATGCAGTGATTCTTGATCTACAGATAAAAGGCTCTCTACATGATATTCAGGATATAGTACACGTTCAGTTTTGACATCGGTTTATGTTTAAAATGGTTCTCACAATAAACAAGCATTCTGTAACAAAATGCGGAGGGCAGCAATTATGTGATGACTTCTTAACACTCCAAGGGGTAAAGAGCTTTCCCAAATAGGAAAAAAAAAAAAAATAGTAGTCAGTCCACAATGTTAACCCTGAGAGTGATTCCCCTTTTAGATTACAATATTATTTTCAGTTTCATACACTTTATATCGAACTCCCACAGGAATAAACTTCTGGAAGTGTTTCCACATATACCCAGCTACACTTTCTGTGGTGCTCACACACGGGCACAGTAGGGAACACCCAGATCCGGATGATCCAGGGGCTGCATAACTGCCGCAGCCTCTCTGAGGTTGGTCAGATTCACAATCATTCCTGGAGCAGGGTCGGTCTTGATAACTGCGCCCCAGCCATGTGGACGGTCGCACTTCCAGACAGGCGCCAGTCCCCTAGCTCACGGGTGGCGCCCTCCCTGGCCTGTGTCAGGCTGGCGTCCACGCGCTCTGGGCACCAGAAGAGCTCTTTCCCCAGGGACACGCACTCTGTGCTCTCCACAGCAACGAACCACCACAGATCCACACGTGGCGCCGATGCAGCTAAACTCCAGGTGGCTGTAAACCAGTGCTGTGCCAGACCCAGTAGAGGAGGATGCAGAACACGCTCACACCCTTCCTGGCCAACGTGGCTGACACAGCTCTCCGGTTCTGAGCGCTTTTGTGCACTCGAGTTTCTCTCCCTCGGTCACTGTAATGACGTCCGCAGTTCTCCCTCCCTCCTGAGTCCAGAAGCTGGACTCGCCACCACCTGCCCCCTGTGGGTTCACAATCTGCCACTAGTTTCCAGGGACCACTTCAACCAGACAGACCTCTCTCAGCTCACACACCACCCTGAAACTTCAGAAGCAAGACCACCATCCTTCCTGTTTACCCCCGCCATAATTTTACACTGGCAACACTTTCCCTGCCTATTTCAATGTCAGTAAGTATTTTGTAGAGTGTGTAGATTTGTTTTGCAGAGTGTGGTCCCCTGACTGAGATAAACTTTCCACCTACCAGGGCTGAGACTTGGGCAAGTCACCCAGTGCCTCCAAACTTCATTTCCTTGACCTGGAAAACGGGGGTTAAAGTAAGTAGTGTTGCAGTGAAGGGGAAATGAGTTAAAGGGTAAACACTTTGCATAGCAAGTAATGAGTGACTTTGCTATTGTCATTGCTTTCATTTTTCATTTTATTAGTATCAAGGTAGTTTTTATTTGTTAAATAAAGTACACACTGCTTATTTTGTACAGAATTAAGCAAAATTTTCTAGGATAAAAGCTAGTATTTTATATGTATTAAAAATTAAAAATCTCTGAGAAAATAAACTGAATATTCTTTCAAGTAATTTTCAAACCATTTTTCGCCACACAGTGTTTAGTAGGTCTTTACTAGCTTACTTCGATTTTAAAGGATTCTTTTCACCATCCCAAAGCTACTATTTCTTTGCCTTTGAACAAGCTGGACTCGTGGAACTTCAAAACCAACTCTGTTCTCTCCACCTGCCTGTTCACACCTGCTTCCCGGTGCCGCCCCCCCAGCCCTTGGGTAGCATCGGGGTCCTCTGGTTATCTCCAGTAACCAGAGGTCTGACTTCAGTAATGAGTCGTGCAGTCCAGAGTAACAGTCAAACGCCACATTGCATTTCAACGTAACACTTCTCTCCTCCAAGAGAACAGCCCGCCTTAGATGGGAACGCTGCCCTGGGAGCCGGGGAGGAACACGTGGACTCCTCCACTGGCACTTGGTGCTGCTTCCTCTTCTTCCAAGCCCTGTCCACTACCCTCACCTGCCCACCCAGCTTACTGACCTTGAGTTCTGACCTCTCATCGCCCAGCAGGGGACTGGAGCGATGGGGATTAAAAAAGCAAGAAATGCTCATGCGACTGGCTGCACTGCTGCGAGCCCACAGTGGTGCCGCCTGAACTTGGTGGGTTCGGAGTGGACTTTCTCTCGTGGGCATCTGCTGCCATTTCCAGGGGCCTCGCACCTGCAGTTCCTTGTCATGGGCAAGCACCTCCTCTGGCGGTCCCCACAGTCCCCCATCACGGGGCAGTACTCTTGCTGTACCATCTGCTCCCCTCTCAGTGCAGCTCCCTCTCAAGCTGGGCCACATTCTGTCAGCGTGGACACCTTCAACTGGCGGCTGGGAGAGCACTTCTCCCAAATGCAGCCCCTCCTATCCTGTTGCAGCATCTCAGCCCACCCCTTCCCCCGATGTCTCTGGGATGGTCAGACAGTCTGCCCTGGGTTCCCCAAAAGCCAGGGAGGCACAGGCAGGTTCTTAAAGTTGGTTCCTGGATGCCCCCTGTGGGGACAGGTGTGAGGGTATACTCACATCCCTGAAAACTCTCTCTAAAAAATCCTACTCCATCTCCACCTCTCTCAGCCTTCCCCCAGTCCCTGGAGGGCTGCAGGGGTGAGCTAAGGCCTCCTTCTTCATCCAGGAGCCCTCACCTCCTAGGGCTGGTGTTAGGCCTTTGAGCTGCTGTAAAGGGATCTTAATTTATAAGAGTTTTCTGTACATTTTCAATTAATTTTGTTACCAACTTTTACCAGTTCATTTAAAAGAGCATTTCTCGTCTCACGAAAAAGAATTAAGATATAAGTGTCTAAAATTTTGATACCGAGCCTCTTAATCTCAAGTTCGTGTGCCCGCATGTGCAGTAAGACAAACACTGAGACATCAGTGCTTGGAGATGGAGAAAAGTTTATTCAAATTGGCCAAAATGAGAAGGTGGGAGCTTGGGTTCACCCAAATCTGCCTTAACAAGAGCAGAAAGCACGGGTTTTATAGCTCTAAGGGGTTTGGCAGGAGGAGCTTCAGAGAAACAAGGGGGTCACTCCGATAAGCTCCTGGGCAATATGACTTCTAGGTGTCAAGAGTAGCTGGGGGCCGGCCATCCAGTGATGGCAACCTCCCGAAAGGCATTCTCTTCCTTCTGCAAACCAAGCTCACAAAGCTTCTGCAAAACTAGCTCGCATATTCTCCAGACCCCTGAGTCACCCCTCAAGTTAAACAGGAAAACAGCAAATTGCTTACTGAATATGTACAGTAACCTCCCTCTACCCAGCTTCAATTTTATATAATCTGGAAATTTGGGGATTTGGGCTTGGCTATTATTATTTATTTATGTAATATTACCTATAAAGATATTTACCAATTTTTCTTCTTTCTTTACAAAAAACAGAAAATATGTTAAGAATTAGCTGTGAAAACGCCAATATGGGGTTGGGGGGGATTCACTTGTGTATTTCTTTTTGTGCTAAAATCTCTATTTTGCCTAGCAAGGAAGAGAGTGAGTTCCTTGGGGGGAAAAAATGAGCCTTAAGGACAGACCAGGTTGAAGCCTTTAGATTTGAAGGTTACCTGACCTTTCCAAGATGTTTCTCATGGGCTGGTGAAAAGTTCTAAAAGCTTAGGAACAGAAAGAAATTGAGAATTAGAAGCCAAGTCATTGAAATGAAGAGCCGTCTGACAAGTGTGTGAGGCTCCCACACCTCGGTGAGTGGGAAAGATTCCTGTGTGAAGAGCACTGCTCGAGGGGCTTCAGAGAAACCAGCAGGAGGACAGCGCATCCCCAGAAGTGAGGCTGGCCCGCTCCCAGGGCTTCTCACCAAGAGGCTTTACTGCTGAGAGGTGACGACTTCACAGGGAGGACACGGAGAAAAGGCAGAGCCCCCAGTGCCTGTCATCACCACTGTGGCACTTTGCCATATTTCCCTTCAGATAATAAATGTGACCAAGTGTGGTCACATGGGAATTAAATCACATTCAAGCACCTGTTTACCTGCTGGTGAGTTCCTCAATATTGTGGGCCAGACGACATTTGGGGGACACAGGTCCAGGGGCGGTGTTGGCAGGATGAACTCTTCTCTGAGCGATTTTGCAATGGTGAAAGTTCATCCAAAGGAGATGGTAGGAAAATGAATTTTCTACTAATTTCCTA